GACATCTCGTCCAGCTCTACCAGAGCATTCACATCGGGCAGCAAGTCAAGGCTGATGTCGCCTTCAGCCTCCCCCGTCACTCCGTTCATGAGTGTGTACAGCTGTTCCCAGCAATCACGTGGAGCCTCGCTGCACTACGTTGGACACCTCGTCCGACGCCAAAGACGTCACAGACGCCCTGCGTCTTCTTCTCCTCTCCCTCCGCGACCGAGCTCGGCCGGGCGAGGGCGATGTAGTGACAACTCCGTCACCACCACCGGGTGCAGCAGCACCAACGCTCCTCGGAGAGGAAACAGGGTCCCGCGAGACACTCGGCTCAAGGCCATGCGGTCCATGACCCTCACTCAGTGAACAAGGTGTCACTACACCTGCATCTTCTGGGCCTCGCCCACGATGCCTCGACTCGCAGTCGACCGCGGCCGCTCGGGCCACGTAGCGGTAGGTCCTCGAACGGATCCATACCACTCAGTGGTTTACGCGCCACTCCGTGCTTGTCCTCACCAGGACGAACAGCAACCTCGTTGCTAACAAGTTCCGACATACCAATGTCCAGCACCACGGCCGCCTCGGCCTCGTGCTTGCGCCAGTAGCGCTTCTGCTTCCTAGCAGAGCTGGGTTCATGACTCACCAAGGCTCCACTAGGAGCAGGGTGCGTAGCACCGAGTGTTTTGGACTTCCAGTCGATCCATGGCTCATGGCGCTCAAGCCATGCCATGCCAAGGATGAGGTCATACCTCGAATCCAGGTCTAAGACTCAACAGCGTTCCACGCTATCGAAGTATAAGAATTTCACATTAAGGTCAACAGAGACCTTCAACACCGTCACAAGTGTCCCCGTCGCAAGACAGACTGAGATTTCATCTCGCGGTCGCACTTCCAGTGCATCAGCATACAGCTGACTCCCTTCCAGGGTGGATCGACGGGTATAGTTGCCCGAGGCTCCCGAGTCAATCAAGACTCTCCACGGCTTCACAAAGCCCTTCACGTTTGCTTGAACGACCAGCAAGCCCGGCTTGCGCACATTCTTCTCATAAGAGAGCCCAGCTCTCTTCGGGACTGAGCCCCGTTGTCCTCTACCTCCTCGAGGCACAACAGAACTCAGTTTTTCCCTAGTAGGCCGCCTCGCGCCTACTGGGAGTTGCCGTTTCCCGGCGATGACCTGGAGTGTTGGCTCGCTGGAGCCTGGCGCTTGAAGCGCAGAGGACAGCTCGTCCTCGGATGCTTGGTGCTTTTGCACATATAGCATCGGCGGATGCCGGCACGCTGCTCCGCAGCAAGAATCTACGCTTCTTCATCTTCGGCCTAGCTGAGGTCCATCGATTCCGGACCGCTCGAAGAGCTCGCGCCACCAGCGCTCCAACCAGGTCGAGACGACCTGAAGTTGTGTTCGGCATTCAATGCCACGTCCACGGCCTCCTCGAAAGAGGTCGGGTGTACACGGAATACTTCCCTTCGAGCTGCGCTCACGCGGAGTCCCTCCATGAACACGGTCACAGTGACCAGTTCCGGAAGAGGATCCGCCGCCATCCCGGCGATTAGAGTTCTGAACTCTTGGACATAGTCCAGTAATTCCTTCTTACCCTGGTGGGTAGCATGGATACGGTACGCCAGATTGGGCGGCGCGAACACACGCGACATTGCTGCTTCAGATGCTCCCAAGAGGGGAATACATTGTCTACTGACATACCGCACGTTAGTGCCCACTCGCGAACGCGACCTCCAAGCTTGGAGATAGCCAGCGCGACGCGCTGCTGCTCGGACTGAAACAGAGCTGACCCCATTGCCATTTCGACCTCGCGGGTCCAGAGAAGGAGATTCTCTCCGTCCTTCCCTTCGAAGGTTGTTACGCTCACCAAGAGCGGTTTCGGTCGCACAGACCCTTCACGCGTCACCGGCGCTGCCGCCGTCGCGGCGCCCATCTTTTCTTCGATATGCTCCAAGAGCGCTTTCTCAAAACGGGACAACGATTCCAGTTTGGCGGTCACCGCCTCTGGACCTTGAGATGCAAGGTGAGCCACACCCTCCGGGCCAAGTAACGACATAAGCTTGTTAAGCGCGTCCTGCTGCGCCAGGGGCATATTCGCGAACACTGGGTGTTCCATCCTCACAGAGGATACAGTCAACCGGCTCAGGTGCGGGATTGACTACAAGTGCTACCAAAAGCAGCAGGGCTGACGTAGCTAACCTCAGACGAAGACGTACGACTCAAAGAGTCCCTAAAACTAAGTTCCTTTTCCGAAGGAAACTTACAGCCCCAGAACCAGGGCTCACAATTATTAAGAACACAAATAACTTTTATGCTTCAAAACCAGAAGTGTTTTATTTATTTTTATTGCGGCCAAGCCGCTATCTATGTTTAACTATCTAGCATAGTTAAACCTAATCAAATGCATATCGT